TAAATTAACTAAGGAAAAAATTATTTCCAGATAGTGGAATGAAGCACAACACAATAGAGTCTTACTTAATAAATTATTTTATCTGATGGTGAATACAGGTATTATAATCTACATTCAGGAATACATTTGAATACAAGAATGGATAAATCTGTCAATTTCCTTAGTTTCTATTTTTTCCAGTTGTAACCTCAGTTCACCCTGAACTTTGAGGGCTTTTTAAAAGTTTGCAAGCAAATATATAAGCATTTCTGTTATTTTTCCTCATGTATGCATTTTTGTACACTTTCTGGATAAACAGTTATGCACACAATTTTCTTAATATAGTGCATTTTTAAAATTTCAAAGTGCTTATACTTTTTCCTCAAGCATACATTTTATATACATTTGATTGCAGAACCTCATTGCAAAATTTGGAGAAATGTAAATTTCAAAGAGTAACTAGATTTCTGTTTGCATAATGATTTGAAAGTGATGCATTAAGTAAAATTAATTTACAATGCAAACTGAATGAATTTCTCCCCCACTCCTATGTCACAAGCCACTTATGTTGATGTTGAATACTCTGCTTAAAAGCCAGTTTAAATCAATTAACCTATACTGGCTTATATCCATACTTTCCCTCCAACTTTTGGCAAATCACAGCTTTGACAGTTTTAAGCTCATTTTCTCATTCTGAATAATAGAAAGTATTTTCCTCTTTGCTCTCTTTAGTTAGAATGGATTTATCATCTATCAGCTAGATCAATAGTGGTCACATACTTTGGAAATACATGGGGGGCTAAATTTTCACAGTATCAGAGGATGTTTTTAGTTGTTGTAGAATTAATAGAATCTCCTTAGTAACTTTTCAACAGTGTTCACCTTTTGTTTTCCAGTGAAACAAAAGGATTAAAGATTATTTTGAAATAGCATCTTTTTCACAAAGCATGTATGGTCTACTGCAGTTCCCATGGGATCAGACGCATACATTGACACTCTTCCCACAAAACAGCCATTGTTTCTGCCATGCCTCTCCGTCTCTTTCCAGGCATCTGCCCTTCATTTTAATGCAAAAGCCCATGGATGGCATGACCAAGCAAAGATGCCTATTGCAATCAAATGTTTGAGGAAGTTATTAAACAGCATTGCAAAGCAGATAAATTCTGCACTTGTAAATTCACATCTGAGTTCATACATCGCACCGCAGCTGTGCAATTCTATGCATGTCTACTCAAAAGTAAGGCTGATCGCATTGGGATTTACTTCCAGCTAAATATACAGTACATAATATTGTATATATGTGGTTTTCTATATTGATAACATCAAATTCTTCCAAGGTGCCTGTGTGTCCTACTTTACAGAGGCCTGTCCTGTCTTTGAAAGGGTATCTAGTCCAAATCTGGTTTAAAGAAAAATACCCGTAAGAAGGGAATTGGCTGTGCAGGTGCAAACTGTTGACAGGCAACTGAAGTTACCTGTTCACAATCCCCCTCACTATGATGTGATAGAACAGATTGATAAATAATCACTATGATTTAAATAGCAATTTGCACCTATACTTATAGGCCACCACACTCTTCTCTCAAACCATTTCTAAAATGGAAAATCTGAGTAGATTCCTTACTGTAGTCTGAAGAAAAAAAATAAAGGTAGTAGTCCTAGGATGGTCCTATTAAAATATACTGTAGTTGTAAAATATATATTCCTTATTTGTGATGAATATTTATATTAGTGCAGATGGCTAGATCCCAAAAGTGACATGGGAATTTTATTTATCAATTTATAGCCTGCCTTTTTCCTACAAAGGGCTCAAGGCAGCTTACATCATTCTCCTCCTCCATCTTATCCCCACAACAACCCTGTGAGGTTGCTTTGAGTCCCCGCTTCCACATGTAGCCCTTTCCCTTTCCATGCCACTCCCAGGTGTCTACCAAAATTTGAGGCACCTTCAAGAGCAGTTTTTTGACACAGCAGGTGCCTATGTCTGAAAAGGAAATTCTACAGTATCTTTACATCTTGACCTAGCTTAGCACTGAGGTCTGGCTTCTACAGTGGCCAACTCTGAAGGCTGCTTGCTTCCATAGGAACCTTCCTGTATGGCATACTGCATTTGTTAGGAGACCTTACTCCATGTCTCACTTGCTGCTGACCAGAGAGTAGGGCAAAGCATTTTAGCTATGTTGAAAATTATGGAACATTCTCTTCCTGGACAATCTTTTCTGAAGAGTTTTTTAGTAAATGCTAGAAACATTTCGGCTTCACCAGGACTTTGCTCCAAGATGAGTTTCATTCCCTTGTTGAGAAGTCTTTTTGTTCTTAATTTTAGTTTTCTGATGTTTGGTTAGTGCATGTTTAGTCTTAGTATTTGCTTTTAATTATTGTAAACTCTTTTGAGCAAGATCACAAAATTTAAATGTTTGCTTTCAAAAATACTGGACTCCACAGAGAGGTGTGGGCAGAATGATGGAACCACTATGGAACTTGACAGATTAGAAGCTCAACATAGCTAATATAGATTTTACAACCCTTGCAGCCTGTGATATTGGTTACATGACAAAAAAATAATTTTACTGGTTGGGCCAATAAAAAATATTGGCTGTTTGGTCAGCCTACCTTTTTCAGTTTCCAGTGGCATTTCAGTAGTAGGAAAGTACAACTTCACAGGAATAAAAAGGACTCATCCAGTCCACTTTCCTGTTATAATTCCAGCTTTGTAACCCTAATCAATTATAAACTTCTCTGTTAAATGAAAGCAATATATCAGAGTTGAAAGGGACCATGATACTTCGTACATTTTTGTTTTGAAGTGCTTCTATCTTACGTTAATTCTTCTATAATGCATTGGGAGTTACTGCAGTACTGCCAAACTACAGGTGAATTACGCTGCACTCCTAGGCATACTTTCCTGGAAGCAAGTCTAACTGAACTCAATGTAACTTGGTTTTGATTAGATGCATCAAGGGAAGTATTGTTCTGCAAGTCTGCAGTCTTCTGTACACCACTCTAGGAATACACCCCATCGATCACAGTAGGGTTTACTTCTGCATAAGCATGCATAGAATACTGTTTAGATATTATTTCTTCCCATAATATTTAGGGCATTCCTGCTTGGGTGCGTCAAAACTATTTTATGCATGTTACGGTCATATTGCAAAACTTGATCGCTGCTCAGACAAGGAGACAAGCAGGCAGACTTGTATGAAATCTCAGAGAAGCCTGAATGCAGAAGAATCTGATCATTCAACTTTTAAAAAATCAAAATCAATTGACTGTGACCCTCAGAACCCACTCTGAATACAACAAAGCATTCTCTCAAGTTCTTTCTCAGAAACAGTTGACTGGACGTCTGTTAAAGTTGTGCAATGAGATATTTTTGTCCTCCTAAATGGCAGTTGTTCCCAAATTAAAGCTGCCATGGTAGGGCACTTACTTGGAAACAAAAAGGTGGTGAGAGATAAGTACAATGACCTAGAGCCTTGAAGAGAAATTAAGAGCATTGAAACATACATTCACCTACATACAGGGAAGCACCAACATACAGATTCTGCCTTTGCTTTCAGTAGCATGTCAAACTAATTTACACCTCAGAGAAAATAGTAATTACACAGTGTTGCAAATCCACCTACAGACATCTGCAACACATCCACATCCGATGCCATCTCCCAAACCACGACAACTGTAAGGCTACATTTTATGCGGCTTCAACATCCAACTTTGGTGTTTTGACACACAGCCATTCTCCCCCATGCATGCAATTAATGATTCATTGCTGAAAAAGCGAATATGAATGCAAATTGGTTGAAGTTGAGCGTTAGTCATTACCTCACAGACAGGGAGGAAGGGAAACCCCTCTGAAAAGCATTAATAATTGAAGACAAAATAGTCGGCCTTTGGAGAAAGTCGGATAAAATCCATTACAACTGTCAGAGTCCCCCTGCCAACCCCCTGCCTCTGGTATGTGAGGCTGCTTGGCTCACCGCTTTGCCTTGTCAAACCGACCGTACAGTCTATTCAGTTACCCTGGAGTTGTCATGTGGAATCAAGCAAACAAATATCTTCTCTCTATTTCCCCCTAACTCGGCCACTCAAAAACCAGATTAATTGGTTGCAAAACCTGTGGCCTGAGTGGCGGGGGCGGAGCGGGGGGAAAGAATGACACTGATTTGCAAATTCGAATCACGATGGACGTAATAGATTTTTAGCATGGTATAGTGTAGATTTAAAAAAAAAAAAAGTTTTCTGAAAGGGGATGAGTGGTTCTCTATTCAGTTAATGAATAAACTGCTAAATGTACCAAAGAGCATTTAGAAGTTAATATATGGCATAGAGCCTCTTATCAGGAAGAGAAAAGTTAGGAATGGTTTTGGGAAGAAGGTAGAAGAGTCACAAAAATTACTAACCAGTGGCACCAGATCCTCATTTATAACTAAAAAAAATATTAAATGGCTTTAGGGAAACACTGCACAGGACAACCTGCAATGCAGCTGGCTCCAGAAGGTAAAAGATTAGAGTATAGAAGATGATCAAAGGCAGCATGGGAATATACAGGTCAGAGACAGTATATGTGCTCCCTTTTCAAGGTTAAAGTGTCCACTGTGTGTCCCACCTTGAGTATTTCTATGCAATTGCAAAAATGCATAAAAGAGAACAACACCCACATACAGATTTGCTTAATATTTACCTAAGCTCATGTGGTTATATACATACATGGAGGGAGGCAAATGCAGAAATCTTTGCTATATTTTAAAATATAGTACAACACAGTCCAAAAAAACCTGTGCACCTGTGTAGTCTGCTATTCACGTACTGCTAATGGGCAACTGATCCTAAAAGCAGCCATGCTGGGTCTTATCAAGTGTCCATCTGGTCCAGTATTTTGTTCACGCAGTGGCCAGCCAGCCGCCCAAAGGATCCCACAAGCAGGACCTGAGTGCATCAGCACCCTTGAGCACAATGCATGTCCCCAGGCATACTTCCTCCGATCACAGAGGTAGCTTAAAGCCATCAAGATAAATACTCACTGCTAGCCTTCTCTTCCATGAATTGGTACAATTCCCTTTTAAAGCCACCCAAATTAGTGGACATCCCTGCATCTTGTAGAAGTGAAATCAATTGTTGATGCACTACTTGAAGAAGTCCTTCCTTTGAGGTGTTCTGAAGCTTCCACCAGTCAGCTTCATGGGATGAACCATGCATCCTAATATTATGGGAAGAAGAAGGAAAAGTCTCTGTCTGCACCTTTTCCACATAATAATTTTGAGCACCTTTATTGTGTGTCCCTTTACTTGCCTTGCTTCTGAAGTTAAACAGTAAAAATAGCTCCACCCTCTTGATCATTACCCCCTTTCCCCATTTTTCTAAATCTACAATATTCTTTTTTTTAAGGCAGAATGACCTAAAAAAGTTGTACACAGCATTCTATGTGTGGTTACACCATAGATTTGTATAAGGGAGTAGGATACTGGCAGTTTTATTTTCAATGGCTTTTCAAATTACGCCTAACATGGAGTTAGCCTGTTTCATAGCAGCTGGGCCCTGGGTTGACATTTTTAGTGAGCTGTTCACAACAGTCCAAAGATCTATTTCTTGGACTGTAACTTAAGGTGCAAGTGGGGTACGGTAGGGAATGGGATTCTTTGAAGCCCCAAAACTGAGATCCTATGACCTTGGTTCTGGGACTCAGAGGGCTAAAACCTCCCCTCAAGGCCAACATGGAAAAAACCATGCAGGCTGCACCTCTGAAGGAACAAATGTGACCTGAAGAGGGAGGAAAGGACATGTTTAAAGTGGGGAGGTGGCTTGGGCCATCCCCATATATCAGTTTCTCAGTGACCTAGCCTCCTCCTCTCCTCTGCCCTTTTTGAGGGCCAAAAAATGGCAAGCAAGTAAAATGCTTGGGCAAGGCACAGGAGCCTGCATCGAGGGAGGGGACCATTGGATTGTGCCCTTGGACAATGTCACATTGAGTTTAGCCTTTTGACTGTATTTAGGGCATGGATCAGTAGGATATGTAAGCACTTAACAGTTCAGTTGAAAGAAATGCCTCTTAAAGGTGCTTAACACTGGTGGGATGGTGTCAATTTAGACTAAATAGAGACACCATCACTTGGCCCCATTTTTGTACAGTATCTCTTGTTTTTACTGTTCAGGAATTACAATACATGCTAGCAGGCAAATTATGATAATTACTTGGTCCATTGCATCCCCTGCCTGAACAGCTAAGCAAAATGAGTGAACAAAATGAGCAAACATTAATGCATTAATCCATGTTGTTGATCTGTTCAATATTGAGAATATTCAAATTCTGAAACATTTCCTTATATCCAGATGGATTAGGACTAATAAATCAGTCATGGTGTGCATTTCAGTAAAGTTTGGACATAACAAAATATTTGCATATTTGTTTTATGATGGATTTGCAATTGCTCATGAATAAAGAAACTAGTTAAATGAAACAAAGATAATGAAGCTGGGAAAAGTGTGTAGGGGCAGGGCAATCACCAAGAACATAAACCTCTGCACGTTTAGACAGAAGAAAGGACTATAATTCCAGGACTTTGTGTCTAGACTTGCATAGGAGCGTGCCTTCAAAAGATCAAAGAGCCAGAGCCCACAGGGATGAACAGCCAGCCCATGTTTATCAGCAGAATGCTAGCATTATCTGCCTCCCCACTGCGCTTCTCAAAATTCCTTGTCCCTCTGAGCATACCTGTAATCGCTCATATTGAACTAGTGCAAGGTCTGCTATGGAATGTCATTAAAGGAGGAGAATGATAAAGCCACTTTAAGTTCTTTGAAAAAAGAAAATGTGGGATATAAATCTAACAAATAAATAAACCTTCAGGTCCAGGAATTTCTGGATGAGATGGTTTATCTAGATTTACTTCAAAGTCACTTCAGGCTTGGTTGTGGTGCAGATAGTGCTTTGGTCATCTTGGTGGATGAGCTACCCTGGAAATCAGACAGGTGGCATATGTCCCTGGATGTATTCAGGGACCTTTCCGCAGCTTTCAGTACAGTTGACTGCTAACACTGAGGCATCTGAAATGGGACTGGGGGCACTTTTACATGGAGGCTCTGTGTGAACCTGCCCAGTTCTTAAGATCTTTTGGAGAGGCTCTTCTTTCAAGATCCCTGCCTTCTGGGGTATGTTTGGTGGCTACCCAAGGTAAGGACTTAATGGCTGCTTCCAGGCTGTAGAACTCCTTCTCAAGGGAAGCCATGTTTGCTTCTTTTCGGTTGTTCTTCTGCCAGCAAGTAAAGGCCACTTTAAGAAGTTCTTTGCCCTGTCATTGGGCCTTTAGGTTGGGTTCTATTTTAATATTTAAGTTCTCTTCTCCACTGTAGTTACAAATTTATTTGATTATAGTGTATCATTTAAATCCATTATAGTTGTACCTATAAGCTGCCTTGAGTTCCATTTATTGATAGAAAGGTAGGGTACAAATAAATAAGATTTTAGAAGACCATTTATCACATAAGACAGGAAAAGGCTGTTTCAGGGTTTCTAGAGGATCTTGATGAACAAAACAAGCCATGAGTACAATTCAGTACTACTGCTGTGATTTTGCTGGGGGTGGGAGGGAGGGCACAAACACAACAGGAAGTAGCACTCCCTAAAGTACCCTGGAAATGAGTGGAAACGTTGAGTGAGGGCTATCGTGCTGCCTGAACCAGGTCATTTATCTTTTTATGCTTATAAAAGCCCTCTGAGATAAGTCAGAAATATCTCGATATTGCAAAGAAAGCATAGGCATAGTAGAGTCTGGCCAAAGGTAAATAGTGAGTTCAAAGTAGAGATGAAATGCAAACCAGGGACTTAGCTGCTATGTTCTATCACCTCTTATAAAGTGGCTTGTTTTGGTTTATGGTGTACTATTAGAAATTCAGTACAAAACAGTTGTTTTTAAAGGCTATCCTTCCCTTCAGCATATTGCTGGAAGAGGACATTTTATGGAAAAACTATATGCAAATAGTTACAGGGATAACCATTTGGCTCAGTTAATTGATAGAATGGGAGAAGCTATAGTCCAGAGATAGAATCCATGCTTTGTCTCAGGCTCTCAGTGATAAATGTGCACACTGAGCATCAGGATGATTTCTTCTAGACAAGCAGATGCTATCTAGGAGGCATAATTGCTCTAAGGATTGAGAAGCTTCTTCAGATTTCTAGACCAAAGGTCAGAAATGAGCTCCAGCCCTGGAGCTGTCATGGGAAAAGCCACATGGCCTGCTACTCTAAGGGTTGTTAAGGGTTTCACCTTGGAGAAAGGGTGAAGGGGGCATTCCAGGATGGGGAGGAAAGGAGATTTGGTTTTCCAGGCTACTCCAATCTCCTTTTCTCCCTGACTGAAGTCCCATAGCTAGGCAGCTACAATTAACTGTCTTGCAGGACAGGAGGAGTGGGAGGGCAAAGATTCTATCTACACTTCTCTTGCCCTGCATAAGAGGCCAGGAATCCTCTAAGTTAGGAGGCTTATGGGCATCCTCATTGGACTGTGGTCTCAAAATAAGTTAAACAAGGCACCCTGAGAGGAGGAGACATAGTATACGGGTGGGATATATAAATTTGCTAAAGCCCCTTTATTCAGTAAACTAGCACTAGTTACCCCTCATAAATATTTTCAGACATTTTTCCATGGGCAGATGTCCATTTTGTAAAAGACTATCCATCTATCTAAATCTATTTATCTTATTTCTTGATTTCTGACTTCACTTGAAGGCAGTTGAGAATGTACAATATTGATTTACAATAAACTATAAATAAAAAAGATACTTTTAAAAGACCTACCTGCAGTCTGAAGTGGTACAATTCAGAACTTCACCATCTGACTCTGGGTAAAACAACAATCCAGCTCCGACTCATCTGGATGCACAGATAAATAAAGAACATTTTTTCAGTGTGAATGTGGCAGAGCCTAGTGGTGCTGATGTTACAATTGTAAGGGTATCATTACATTAGCTATTGGCATTTCTCATCATAGTCATACAAATACAACAATTGATGATCATGGACAGGCTACAATGTAAGCAATCACCTAGCTGGAAGGCCAAGTTTCATATTTTAATTATCAGCCTGCATGGACTGCTAATTGAACTGCATATTTTATTGGCTAGGAGAAATGTCTTTTATGTTGCTGTTGTTACCAAACCAGGGAGCTTTGCTAATTATAATTGAGTTGCCTACTTAGAGCACTCTGCTAATTGAAGTGAACTGTAGCATAACTCAGCCATTGAGCTCCTAGGTGCTGCATTGACCTCAGTGAAGTATAAGAAGTGGGTGAGTTGTGTCATTTGAGATGCATACTTGAGCAGTTCAGCTACATTCTTCATAAAGGGCAATTGCCTACTTACACTGAGGACTACCTGCCTTGAACAAATTCTGCCAAGTACATCTAAGGTAAGTATTACAGTTTAATTCAATGTTAAGGGAAGACTACTTGTGCTGCATAACTAATACATGCTGATCTTTAGTGCAGGCACTCCATATATCAGAGCAATCCTTCATGCAAAACTATTCATGCAACAGCTGGCAGAGCCTATGCATTGCATGCACAAGGTCCAAGATTTAAACCCTGGCATTCCAGATAAGACCACAATCCTATGCATGTTTAGGCACAAAAAAGACCCTGTAGCCAGAAGAGCCAAAGGTGAGAGTTGTAGAAGGCCACAAGTTGCCCACACTGCTGTAGGGCATCAAGGTATTTTCCAATGCAAACAGAAGTGTTTGTACACAAGGTCATATAATTGGATGGAAAAGCTTTTCAGAAAACCCACATCACCAACTCCAAGTAGGACTAAGATTGGACACAGCTTCAGGTTTTAGTCAAAAGGATTGACTAGTGATGAGCTGAAATAGCAAAATATTTACTGTTACTCTTTTATAGAAAACCCATCTTCTTGTATATAACTTTTAAAAATATCTTAAGCAGCCTTTTAAGTATTACCACTTACAAGTGTCCTCCTGAATTCTTAGCAGGATCCAAATGTTTGTAAGTGGACTTACACAGATCTGTGCCTGAATGTTCAGAAGTTAACAAAAGACAACATCAGAAACAAATCTCAGGTCTTGAGGCACCTCCATGGAGGTACTGGGCTTAACTCTTACCATTAATCAAGAAGGGACTAAGGTTGTGGCTTTATATTCCTCATACCAAGCTCTCCCACAAGCAGTAGATGGCCACAAGGAATGGGAGAACTTTGGATCCCATATTGTCATTCCACTCCTCTGCTATCTATATCCTCTGTCTCATGACTCTGCTATTCAATAAAAACCCTGTTAGTTTAATATTATCTCCCAAGAAAGAGATAGTGTATCATTTTAAAATAACTTACTAGTAAGCACTCAAACAGAAATAAGACTCACTAAACTTCTACAATCTATTGTAGAGAATCAATTTTTTTCCTCATAAGGTTAAAAAAAATTAAACCAATAATGTCTATTATATAAGTCAACTGATGGTCCTTTGTGTTCACAATATAGCTTGGTAGTTCTGTCCCCAAGGTTTGAATTTATCAAGTACCCAAGCATACACATTGCATAAAAATTGAGAAACAGAAAATTGAGCATTGGCCTTTCAGGCCCAACTCAGTAGTAAAAACGATTGAATTCTGCTGTCAAGTACATTAGGGAGAAAGATGGCAAAATGGAGATAAATCAGATTAACACTTTAAAAGATAAATGGTATTCCAGCCAAGTTTAATCTTACTTTTGAAATGTGCAAACTCATCATAAGCCTTTACTGTACATCAAAAGCATAGCATAGTGCCTTGGAACTTACTATAATATGCTTATAATTCTGGAATTTTTGAAGCTATGGAGACAATTTTCTAGAAATGGGAGGTGACATTCCAAATTGTCCAGCTAGTAGCCTCAAAAGTAATCCCTTTCTCCATCTTGCATTTTCTACACTTTGATCTCAATACTGAAAGTAATCAATCTACTAATATTAACTTAGCAAGATTTGTAAGGGGATTGTATAATCATGGAGGCACACCTTCTCAGAACAATCCTGACTGGTAGTTACTATGTTTTATTTGTAACTTCTATGTTCAGAGGCAGTATGTCTCTGAGGAGCACTTCTAAAGGACCATCAGCTGAAGCGGGTTACTGCTTTTATGCTCTGCCTGCATGCTTTCCAGAAGACTTCTCACTGTAAGTAACAGATTTTTGAACAAGATAGACCAGTCCCAAAGTCTACACTGAGGGTGGATAGTGCATGGCCCTCCAGATGTTTTGGCCTGCAACTCCCATCAGCTCTCACCACTGGCTATGTTGCCTAAAGCTTATGGGAGCTATACAACAAAACAACTGGAGGGTCACAAATTGCCCATTCCTGGTTTATCCCTTACTACTTCATATTCTTTTGTCTTGGGCATGTATTAGCCCTGCTGACTCCCCAGGGTTCCCCTGTTGGAACTTTGATTTATGGTTGGATTCTGTTTGATGAGCTACCTGGGATGGTGTATATTCAAGTCTCAGATCACTTCCACACCAGACTTTCCACAAAAAGGAACTAATCTGTTGAATCTTTAAATATACTTTCTCCGTATAAGACAATTCTAACACAACATTTAGTATTAGGAGGAGTAAACACAGGCTGGAGACAGTTTAGAAGTTCAAAGCAACTTTATTAATGCTCCTCCACACATCCAAGAAGGCTATCTAACATTGTTAAATGTTAAAAACCCCTAAAGCTTGCCGCAAGCAAAGGCATGAGTTATGGTTACTTGCTTCCCTCAGGAAAAGGTGGACATTGCTTGTTTCAGAGGAAGAGGAAGGAGAATAAGAGATTGAAACTAGTCAAAGAGGGCAACACGGGGAAGAACTAGACACAGGGCTGATTAACACATTCTCTATCGCCACCCAGTGACTGGAAACATACATAGTTCTTCCTATGATCCAACATGATGTGCAATATTAGCCTCTGCAGCTGGCAGGCTGAACTAGGAAAGACTGGAATGTATTCTAGATATCACTCTTAACCTTGTCTTATGGACAAAGTAATACATTCAATCTTAGGGTACTACAGAAGGAACCACTAACACCCAGGGAATGGGGGACATATTTGGCTTTAGACTTGTATGACACAACTTGGAACTATAAAATGGGAAATTAAAGCTTCAGTCTGAGATTTTTGTAATTGTTACCTGTTGTTATCCTTTCCTTAACTCCAGAAATCAGTTCCATACTCTAATTACAAGCAGCATCCTGTTAAAATACTTCTTAAAATATTAAAAAGTATTCAGATTACTTCATTCCTTTTTGAAGAATAAAGGAAATAATTATCCCTTGTCAGTCATATGTACACCATGTTGCATTACCAACTGAATTGGACTTCTAGCCCTTTCACTGAATCATGTTTGCATTGGACTTCAAAAAGCCATGGAGCACAAGTGCCCCTTCCATTGCTGGGCCTTCCCATCTTACATTGTAATAGCACCTATCCGCTCTTCACACATGCACGTGTTTTTTTATTTATTTTATTAGAACATTTCTATGCCGCCCCTTGCCGAAGCCTTGAAGACAACATGTTACAGTTCAGGTGAAGTGAGCCCTAACCCACAAAAACTTATCAATAAATAAAAATAATCCTTTCAGTTGAAGAATGGGGTAGAAACACTTTCAATAAATAAATGTATTTGTTAGTTTCTCAGGTACTGCATTCGTCTTCGCTGCAACAGGCCGACATCAGTACTGCTTTGCAATTCTCATTGTGCCACTTTGTTAACAGATAAGTCATCAGGCGCACACAGACATAGAAGAGTTATTATTCTGTGGTTTTCATAACACATCAAAGTGCCAGTAAGTTGATCATTTTGATTAATGAAACATTAATTACATGTAGAAAATGAACCAAGCTGAGAGATTTAGAAGAATCAAGAGCACAGTCAGTAAGATTGCACCCAAATGGTTGTGGCAACAGGTGAACATGCTGACCACTGGCCCTGGCTTGATCTCTTCTGTTCAAGATTCACTTTGTGCAGTGCCCAGGGCGCGCGCGCGCGCGCGCGTGTGTGTTTGTGTGTGTGTGTGTGTGTGTGTGTGTGTGTGTGTGTTGGGTTTTCCTTGCATGATTCCCCGCTCCCCCGCTCCATTTTAAGGGTATGCATTGCTCTTAAGATGTGCACTTGCACTGCACCACACTGGATCTCTAAATGGTTGAAAGGACCTCACTTTCCTTGCCCAGAACCCAGCAAAAGTCTGGGAAGCAGCAGTTATGCATTAAATGCCTTGCCTAGGCAGCTGTACAAGGTTTCTGTTTCCTCTGCAGGAGGCACTTATGCTACCTTTGTAAAATTTGGTAGTTGTTTTAGCAATATACAAGCAGAAGCAAATAGGCACACCTACTGCAAGCAGTGGATAACAAAACCGCTGCAACGGATTCCAAGAGAGTGCAAGCATTTCTCAGTTTCCCATTTATCTGCCTCTGTAGCCTTTTAAAAGCTTTATGGACCATTCAAATGAACACAGACGACCAACATTATGACTCAGATCGAACCTATGCATGGCTAGACGTACACATGGAAGGCATGTCATGAGCAGAGCCAGGGGTCAGACTAGATGGCCCAGGAGACCCCTTCTGACTCACTCTATTTCTATGTTACAAGAGGTGCGGACAGCTCTGATGTGAAAGCCAGTGCCTAAGTCAGGGCAGGAGACTGTAACCAGGACACCTCACACTGCCTTGCCACATCCTGAGAGAACCCTGTCAAAAGTCTCTGCCCACAACCTTGAGTGCTTGCAGCTCAACTTTCTTCACTGGACTTTCCTGGTTGGACAGCAGGAAGAGAACCAGCAGGTCTATCTCCCCCCCCCCCCACCCCCGGCAACAGTTTGGGCACAGAAGGGCCAGCAAACTTCACATTCTCTATCAAACGGTTTTGACAAACAAAAAGGGACCCTTTCTTACCTTCCTCCCTGAGCCCTTTAGTCCCTCTTTTCTCTCCCCTGGTCTTGCTGTTGGAAAGCAACTCCCAGTGAGCAGCATCCCACTGCATTAGGCACCAGCTGCAGCTTGCAAACTAAGCTCAAGGGTAGCCCTAAATACAGCATATCACAACAATCCAGTATTGAGGTAACCAATGCTTGCACTGTAAGTCTACATTAAAAGCAGGTGCTCTACTGTCCATTGTCCCTGGCTGCTCCATTTAAAGGAGATCCAACATGACCTAAGAGACAGAAATATATAAAACAATTCCAATTGAATATTCAAAAAATTCAAAACACACCTGTTAACTTCTTTGAACAAAGTGTATTACTTTCTGAAAGAGCTTCACTGATGCATTCAGATATACCCTGTTTGAGAGGAACTCCACAGCTGAGATATAACCACCAAAAACTTGAGGGCCTATTTCATGCCTGTATTGGCTTTACTGAACTAGAATATAGGGGAGAACTTCTTCCAGGCACATTTTTAACAGAGTCCGGTGGGTCGCAAGGCGGGGGTGGGGGAGTATTCCCTAGAATAAGATTTGCTCACTCTTCTCCTTCCTGCTAGCATGTAAACTTTTTTTTTAAATGAACCCACATTTGACCTATAGCAGTGATGTGTCTTTTCCGTTACACTGACTTCACCTATATTCGGAACATTTAGTTGTTTTTCTATTTTTATATGTACTTAATTTTTAATTATTTTATCTTGCTTAATTGTGGGTGTTGGGTAACGAGCATGTTTTATAGAAAGGCAAGGTATTGCTGTATTAAAATAAGGGGAAAAATTTGCCACTCCCAAGTAGGAATTTGGTTTCCCTGAAACAGCCAGTTCATAGTTGAAAAGGACTCCTGGATCTGGTTCTGCTCCTAGATATCTTGATGCTGGCTGTGGTCAGGAGTACTTAATTGCAAGTATACCTGAAAAGACTAGAGGATGAGGCCCTCACACACGCTAACCTCAGTGACTGGCTATAAGCTCTAATGGACTTTGTATTCCATTAGCAGCATTATGCATGATGACCAGAGACAACCAGAAGCCACTGTCCCTGGTACATTGGTCTTCATTGCTCTACCCACTTGCCAAAAGATAGGCTTATATATTTCGTACCAACTCTGAACAACTTTCAAAAACGTAAGAATTGCCTTGTTATATCACATCCAAGCCTATTTAGCCCAATATTTTTGTGGGCTATATAACCAGAGATATACCTCTTGATAGTTTCAGTCATGGCCTGAAAGTCCTAGCATCCGTTATTGATTGTGCCCAGCATCTAGAAGGAGTTTTTAAAACGTAGATATGTCTTGGTTAACTGCCAATAAGAGAGCCATCCTTCATGAATTTGACTGGTTCTTTTAAAAAGCAATCTAAGCTAGTGAGCAGTGTCACCTGCAGATCAATAGAGAGCTTGCTATACAGTTGCACATATAACACAACTGCTGTAGTCAGACCTTGAAGCTTCCACTAGAACTAGTGTCAGAAATCAAATATTTTCTAGGTCTGGTCCACAGAAAGTTTCCCTAAAGCCAGGATGTAAGCAATCTATTAGTTTAGAGCTGAAACTTCCAGACAGCCTTTCCACAGCAATATTTTGATGTAAATTTGCAGAAATATATTCTAACATTGAAATAAAGTTGGTGACTAAGGTTTGAACAAATATAGGATAATCCTGAAAACACAGGGCCCATATATTCTACAGTCTGAATTAACTGGTAATCCACACCATCCAGATGTATGTTTTAGAGTTCTTTATTTGAATCTTTTATGCATGACTAGCAGGACCCATAGGATAGAAATAGAATCTCTGTATCGATTCTATATATTTGTTTATACTTGTGAGCCTAACATTGAAAATGTCCTTGAATCAAGTTGATACAAAGCAGACACAAATTTTAAAAATGGAAATTGAGCTGAAAAAAGGGAAATGAGAACAGAGAGAGAACTTCTAGCGAGATTTATAAACTGAGCCATACATAGTTATCACACAAACCCTCAAAATATTATTTCTAATGGTAATTTTTGCAGTAGATATGTCAGTGACTAAGGCATGGGCAGAAGAAAACAAGGTAAATGCACTGTGACCAAGAAACCAAATCCAAGACAAGAGAGAGTCCAAACACAGGTTGGAATCTAATAGCAAGGACAGAGTTATGGTCATATAACAATCCAAGGTCTACCTGGAATACAGCATAGAGCTAGGCAAGGTCATAGTCACAAGCAAGTCATAGGTCAACAAACAGTACCAACGGAGTTAAATACCTTGGGACAAGAAAACCAGGCAGGCTTCAGGAACAGCAATGGAAGTCATAAGAAGTAAAACACACAACAGCAGCAACCAAGGCTTCTAGAAGGAAGAGCTTGCTCTTATATATCTATTTCCCCTGGGCTCCCAGCTGGACCTTATCAAGGGCCTGAGAGCTGCAGCTGTCTGGGACCAATCCTGCAAGGACCAAGGTGGTTGTTCTAGTACTTGACCAGTAGATGGAACCCTGGAGCTGCCCAGATCCTGACAAGCATAACATTTAAGAGTTACTTTTACTGTGCTTTGAATTTGAACCAAAAGTGTGCTGTTCTGCACACACACACACAAGTTCTCTTACAGTGGCAGGTAGTGCTGATGTGGGAACTCTGCAGATGATCAAGCCAATGCACTGGGTAATTTTTGTTTAAAAATTATGCCCTTCAAGTGTATTCTTCCCTTTTTAATACTGGCATAGAATTGGTTTGGGGGGAGTGGTGTTGGCAGGTACAGCTTGTCATGGGCTTGGTAGGAATAAACAGATGCTGTAATGAAGTAGCAGGAAGTCCAGTACTGAGGTAACTGGGGTGCAGGGAACATCTCAACTAACTTTAGCAATGGACAAGCTGTCTGCAGTGCTTCACCCCAGACTTTCACTTGGAAATTACTATTATTACTTAGTAAAACATATTTTAGGTCACCTCTAAGAGCAAAAGAACTCCCAAGGGAGCTTACACAGTGAAATCCCATATAACAAAAATGATAACAAGAAAATAAGTTGTTCTGTGTTCTGTGCTAGGGATGGGAAATGTGTGGCTCTGCAGATGTTGCCTGATTGCAATTCCTATCATCCCTCTTCCCTGTAGTGCAGTGGTTGGAATATTGGACTGGCACTTGGGAGATCTGGGTACTAATCAGCCATGTAACTCATTGGGTGAGTTTGGGCAAATCATTGACTCTCAGCTTAACCAACCTCATAAGATTGTTGTGAGCAGAAAATGGAGAGTGTGGCTACTATGCAAACTCCATGTTGCAAAAACTAGAAAAGGCATTGCAAATAATAATGTCAAAATATACTGCTTTACTGTCCTTATACAAATCCTCAGTGTGATTTGTAGAACTGAAAAATGGGCACAAAAGCACAACTAAAATGATCAAGGGGTTGTAGCAATTCCCCCATGAGGCACAGTTACAACAGATGAGACTGTTTACCCTTCGAAAAAGGTAAGGACACACATAAGTGTATAGAATTGTACACGTTATGGAAAATCTGGATAAGAAGGTCTCTTGCCTCTTTCCAATAATAGTAGAACCCAGGATCATTCCCAGACACTGATGGAAGATTCAGGACAGATAAAAAGAAGTCTCCTTTGATGCACAGTTACTATGGAATTCACTTCTGCAAGACATAGCAATGGCCACCAGTTTGGACTACTTAAAAGGGGGACTTGTCACATTCATGGTGGAAAGGGCTAGCAATGGCTACTAGTCCTGATGGTGGTGCTACCCGCCTGCACCAGCTGCTGAGTGGGAAGGTGCTGTCGCGTTCCTTCCTTGCCTGGGGCTTCCAGCGCGCTGCTGGTTGGCCTCTGCGTGAACGGTGGGATTAGTTCGACCGTGGTCTGAGTCCGCATGGCTCTGAGGAGAAGAGAAGAAGGGCGACCGTGTCAACTGCCTTGGGTTTCTCGCACACGAACAAAGGCATTATCAATGTCATTATAGGCTGTGCTGGGAAAGGGTAGCTCGCTCTCCGCGCCTCGCCAGGCCCGGCGGCCTTCTCCGTTCGAGGAGGCTTGCCGGGGAAAAGGCGGCCGGCCGCCAGCAGAGGGAGCTGCAGGCCAGCCGGCGCGGCCCGGCGCGGCTTCTCTCGGCCGCTCTGCTAGCGGCTGGGCGGAGGACGGAGGAAGGCCTGCGGCCCGGCCCCGGCCCTGGCCCCGGCGCTCTCAGGCTGGCTGGCTGGCTGGCTGGCTGGCTCCACGGTAACGGGCTGGGCCGCTGCGATGCCCCTTCCGGAGGGACATGCCCGCGCGTTGCCCTCGGACGCGTCTGTTCCCTGGGGCCGGCCGGGGGCGAGGGGCAGCGAAAGGAGCCGGGTTGCGGGGCGGGTGCCTCGTTGTCTTGGGGATGGGCCACTTCGGGGGCTCATCATTACCTTGAAGCGGAGGGCAGAGAGGAAATGAAGCACTGGTGGAAGGGGAAGGGCAGGTTGAGAAGGCACAGAAAATACCCTTTTCCCTCGGATTTGTTTTATTGGGAAAAGCCCAAAGACGGCAACAACCTTACTAGGATTTAAGAGACTGTCACCAAATCGCGAGCGAGTGGTCCAGGCTGGATTTTGTGGCTATATTTCGTTTCACATCCTTTCTGCGCAGGGTCTAGAGGCTGGAGCAGGGGGTTAGCATCTTTTTGTATGGTTGCTCCATCGAAGGTTGGGAAAGGCAACGAGATCCCCTTGCCCTTCAGTGTATTCAAGATCATGTAACACGGATACCCCTTTTCATACAGACTGTGAACTTACGGAGCAGAGTGCCCGGCTTCCTATTTGCTCCCCTCTGTTCCTAAATTCGTAGGGGCCGTTTATAGATCAGATAAATGGCATGGATATATGAGGCGCACACACACAGAGAGAGGGGAGGTTGTCTGAAAAGGACTTATGTCAGCTTTTCTTGAGGAAGCTTTCCTTAGTAGACACAAGTTAAAATTCAGCAGGAGACGTTTTCTTCTTTTTTCACCTCTGTGCTCACTTGCTCAGGTTTTAAAAGTCCCAAGGCCAGGACTGAGCATTATGGCATACAGTGGCTTAGCACGTGAGTTTTGAACATATGAACATTTGTTCATAAGTTCAGAGGCAAACCATTCTCTTCCTCAGCCCACCCACCCAGTTTATGGTCCTCTGATTACAAGATCAACCTGCCTTAAAGTTTGTTACAAAGATTACTAAGAAACACTTTGAACATTTTCAACTGTTGTATTATTAGAGAGTTACTCTTCCAGGGAAAACCTTCATAAGTGAGTTGAATAGTGGTAGTAGGATGCTTGTAGATCATTTTCACAAGTTATCTGTGTGTCATAGTAGGACAACCTCTTGTAGAATATGTTGTTCTCTGTGAATACCTCTTGCAGCGGTCCACTGTTCAGTTTCTAAAATAAGAAGTCTTGAATCTCTGACTTGCCTGGAGGATTAGCTTTTTGCCTGAGAAGTTCTTGAGGTGAGCCCCACATATGTAAGGTCTTAAAACATGGTGGAAAGCATCTGGATGGCTTTGCTATGAGAACAGCTGACGTGTTTTCTGTAAAAGCTTTTAGTGATACTAAGCTCACTCTCTGACAATTGCTGGTGTTGCATAAATGTTAACTTGCAATAGACAACAGAATAACATGCATCAGAGTTGTTATGCAAGCAAGAGGCTAAAGGCCAGACCTTCAGTCTCCTGTGGATAGTAAGCTTACCTGTTCAATCCCATTCCCTTTTGCTTTCTCTAATAACTGCTGCTGGTTAATGTCTAGAAACATCAGGTTAAATGTGGAGAGCAAAGATGATGGCTGCAGATACTCGAGCATTCTTTTAGTAAATACTGAATAGTACCATAGTCAAGGCATTCATTTGACTAACCCAAAAGTGCTCTCTTTTTCCCCTAGGTCACATGATGCTAATTTTTACCAATATTAACTGCCAATTTGATGCTCCAGCATGTACCACATTGTGTTGTTAGAGCTACCACAGAGGCCTCCCAGGAACATGCAGGCCCTGAGGTAATGAAGTGAGTTCTACTTTAATAATGCATTGCATTGATTTTCCTCCTCACACTGTATTAGTATTTTAGTTTTATGACTGTTATCTTGGATTTTTTCCAATTTCACATTCTTTGTCTCCATTTGGGCAGGAGGGTTAGTCTAATATTTTTTTCCTTAATTGTTGAGGTCCTCAGTGTAAGGCAGAGTAGAAACTTGTGAAGGAACAAAGCCACAATCCTGTACTCACTTATCTGGGATTAAGCCCTGCTGAACGCAGCAGGAATAACTTCTGAGTAATCCTGTACAATCATGTATAAGATTGTACTGTAAGGTAATAAAGTTAAGAAGAAAATGAGTATATGACAACTACTGTTTTTGTGGATAGAAACAATCATTTAGCAAAGTTTTGTGCCTTTCTTTTGCAATGTAGGTGTGTAATGCATTGTACTTCAGATAAAGTGGTCCATATTTTATACATGGGTTTTTGGATATGTACACTGAGACTCACTTAGTCCTTATAGACTCAGCAAGGATATATAATAGAGATCCTCAGCTTACTGGTGTGTGTAAGTTAGTGCTATAATATCTTGGAGAATTGTCTAGTGCCTAGAGAACTGTCCAACCTTCCCCTTCCCTTTTTCAACCCAGGAATACAAGTCTGTGTATGACTGTTACTATGCTGCATAGTGTTTTAATAATTTATCTCGTTCATGTTATTTAATATAGATGAATTTTTGGAAGTATGAGTAATATCAGATACATTGCTGTTACCTCTCAAACCTTTTCATATTTCATTGTAGTAATTTCTGAACAATTAAGATTCAGATCCTGGCTTTATTTGCCGTTGAAATTAGTCACCTAGGATTATTATTCAGATCACTTAATGTGATTATTACTCTTTACAAACCCTTATTTACAGTCAAACTGGCAAAAGATTGGATCCTAAAACATTGTTTTTAATCCATATCTTTGGTTGTAAGTATGGAATCAATGACTATAATTAAGAAGGATTATAGAGATTGTATCTTATATTTGGGGTATTTTATTTTGCACTGCACTGCATATTTGTTCATATCACAAATGGGTTAGCATTTTAATGTCACTTAATGTTTTTCCAAAGTATCAGGAGGTCATTGATTATTTTATTGTGAAAAGTGCAGTTAAATAGAGACATACCAATCCATATGAACTGGCCAAATACAGAATGAGAAGAAACTGGTATGTATAAATGAGAAGAAATGGACTATGTAAATGAGGCAAATTAAAACTTTCTAAAACAACTAACACTGAATACCTCACCTCAAATATCATCTCCAATTTTAACATTTGCAGCAATTAAAATAATAATTAGTATACATCAATTGTAGATGCAATACACTGACAAGTATGCACACTTCTCTAATGCAAACTTTGTTGAAATGAATAGGAACCATACAAGAACATGGTGGTTCCTGCTCACATTAATGGGTCTTGTGCTTGCAAACGTCTTGGTTGACTGAGCCCCCATTCATATGAAAGTTCTGCAGGGCAAGGAAGGGGTTAGAAAAAGAAGCTGCCTGCTTCCGGGCAAAGATGAGGCTGTTTCGCCCCATTCCCCCAGCATTAAGTAATCATGCCTGGGACATAACATGAAATGTACACTATGTACAATGTAGCAAACCATTAAGCAAAACTGTTGCAAGCCATTCCAAGATTTGCCTGATAAGGGTTACTTTCTTTTATTCTGAAGTACTTGTTAATTTTTAAATTTATAGTCATATTTATTTCATTCTGTCAACGATAGAGTAGTGTTAATTCCTATTTTACTACAGTGGAAGCTTGAGCAGTTGCAACTGTATCACCATTTAATTGTTTTCTGTTGACCGTCTTGCATTAGAAGGTAGCATTTAGCAACTGAACACCCAGTTTCAATATAGAAAACTGCCCTGTTTTGATCTGCATAAGAATATTCAAATACTGTGGGTTAATGTCTATATTTTAAATGTTCTTTCTTGCTTTGAGTTTGCCTTTCATATGTGTCCAAATAGAATAATTAGCTGGATTTGTCTTTTAAATTGATGTATTCATGCTGGATGTGTTTTATTTTCTTTAAATTTGGCAGGCCCTTCAGTGAGGTTGGAAAGAAATTGTTGTACCAAGTCATCCATCTGGATGTGGGAGCTTTGAAGGGGGAGAGAGAATATTCAGAATTGGTAAACGGATTTGCATGGGGTTCAAAACTAAGCCAACTTCTGAAATAATATCCCTGAACTTGAATAGATGGCTCTTCAGCAGCATCTGCATGCTTTTAATATCTCCCCAGTGGAGGATAGGAGATTGTGTCTAAATGGAACACCCTGGATTTGGCATCTTCTTGAAGAATGTGTTGGGAACGCGTGGGAGTATTGGAGTGTTGTCATAGGCCTGATCTCCATTGTCTGTTTTCTGTTTGCTGCACTACCGTGAGTTTAAAATCTTTAAATACTTTTCAGATTCATACATGAGTAATCTTGCCTGAAGCTCTTTTCAGAAGCTGCCTTTTTGGTTTACTCTTTGAAGCATTTCTGTCTCTGTCTGCATAGTATAAATAGGATATACCACCGCAGCATGTTTCTCCTGTTTAAAGCAATATTTGATGGTTGACAAATTAGCTTGCTATACTCTACTGTTCTGGTGACTTGACACTAATCTGAGCTATTTGGAGCACATAAGAACACATCACCCCTTCTACTTTGATCTTTCCATCATTAAATGCATGGGTATATGAATGCATCATTCACACACTTAATTGGAGAGGGCAATGCATCATATAGGCTGTTTTCTGCCTATTCGAATGGCAAACCAATGCACCTTGGTGGCTTTACCCCTGGCCATAAGGAGTCTGTGCTACATGAGATGTGGGGAATGAAGGTATTAGTGTATAGCAGATTGGAGGTTTGACTGAATAATGATTGTATTAGCATTTATTATAGGTTTGCTGCTTTACGTGGCTTTTGTGCCAGGTGCAACAGTCTTGATCTGGGAGGGCTTAAAAGGGTTACAAGTTTTAAGTCATCTGAGTCCAACCTTTGCGGTGATGGCAACAGTGTTATGATGCCTTCTGCCTCCTTGGAACAGTCTGCACCATTTGTATGATGTTGTAACCTGAAACCTACAATAGAACTAAATTAATTAAGCAAACATACAAAGAAACCGAACTTGTTATATGTAGGTCTTTCCACTCCCTGCCCCCTGACGTGTGTGAGTGAGCGGCAGGCTCCATGTGCTTACATGAACCAGTGTTTTACACAACAAGGAGCCTTGGATTTGGGAGTTGCAGGTTCACGCTTTTTCTCAGTCATGAATGCACTTGACACTTATATCTTATTTTCAATTCCTCACTTGTAAAGCAGGAATACTGGCAAGCATCTCCACAAATTTATTTTGAAGAGAAATGAGAGAAGATTGGCAGAGCACTTTGCTCAGTTTTAAGCATTACAAAAATTAGTGCACTAATAGTACATTTGAGAGAGAGAGAAGGGGAGAAAAATATGGCTTGCTTTACTAGAAGTTGTCTTCATATTGTTAACCGATAGATTAAGACTACACTGGTATATACTTACCTGTGAATAAATTCAGTGAAACTCACTTCTGCATAAATAAGTAAACAGCTGCATTCTTGGTTCAGCTTCCAGCTAAGGTTCTTTGGAAGTGAAGAAAGGGTTAAAATTGTTTGGGGCAATCTATGTCTCATTTGGAATAGATGGCAAAATTTCCATTGATTTCATTCTGGATTGCCCCCACTGCATCAGTTATAACGTCTTCAATTGCATGTAAGTCTCCATATATTAATTTCATGTATGTAAGTTGACAGTAGAAGGAGCAGAGCATGAAATTACCCCAGCAGGGGGAAAATGGCTGAAGTTAAATGGGATTCATCTTGATGTTTGTTACCTTAGAGGAAACCTGCACCTTACTGAATCAACAATCTGAAATTTTGCACAGGGGAAAAAAACCAGTATTACAATGAATTCCAGCCCCTAACATATTGCTCATAAGGAGCACTTTCATCAAAAGTGTAACTTTTCTTTAGGATGGAATGTTTTATTTGCAACATTTTGATAATGAAGTTGAGAGGCAATTTTACAATTCAGAGTCCCAAATAAAGATCTCAAGTCAGCTATGGAAGCTTTGTGTGAGCATAGGTATTTTCAAAATATGATTGTGCATGTTTTTCAGGGACTCTTTCTGAGCAAGGCAATGAGTGTTTGAAAGGTTGGAGTATCCACATCAAGGATAGATTAGATAAATGAAGATGTACAGGAGAGTAGTTATTTTTAAACATTTTATTTTTTCTTCTACTGGTGTACACAAAGTTGTCGAGAGCCTAAAAATAATCATAGCAATATTAAGGCAACATAATAATGGCTTATAGTAAAATTTATTTATTTATTTTATTTAAAACATTTATATGCTGCCAGATTGTGCCACAGCACCTCTGAGTGGCTCACAACCAATAAGCACTTGAAAAAAAAATGGAAATTGGTTATTGTAAGATTTCTTTTGAGTAGCCCACTCTCATTATTCAGCACATTGTCATTATATTCAGATTGTATATATGTTCGTTGTGATGTCTTGAGAAACCTTGAGACTAGTATTGTCACAGTTGTCTGAGTTTTTTCCCCTTCAGTCAACTTTATGTTGCCTATAAGAATGGAAAAGTGGATCAAGCCCTTTCATTGGGCTTTTTGGTGTGCTGGATTTCAGGAGACCTCACTAATTTTATTGGGTGCTATTTGACAAATCAACTTCCAATACAGGTAAGCAGAGTTTCAAATATTTGGTTTAAAAGCCTTGGTTATACCACAAACAGTTTTAATTTGGTGTTTTCTTTTAAACTCATTATCTTATTAATAACCCTTTTTTCTCTATGCATTCTGTAATGTATGTGCTCTCTTGCTCTCTCTGCGCCTCCTGGTATCTCTGAACATTTTCTGTTAACTCCATTTGTTCCACCACATACCTCTTTCCGTACCTCTACTTTCCCTTGGCAAGTTCTCCTTGTCTTGGCACAGCACACACTGAGTGATTCTCATGAAGATAGGCCATGAGACATAGCATGACTGGCTGGTTGGCTGCAACAGGTTGGGAAAGCTGCTATTAACTGTACAAAACATCCTTCAGTCCTAGAGAAGGAAGCAGTGTGGACAATAGTGATGCAAAAATTCTGTGTCACATTTGATAGGGGTTAGTGGGTCTAGAAATCTGAATTCTATGTTATGTGCATATCACTCTCTGCCCCCCCCCCCATACATTCAGTGGTGGAAAAGGACCACAAATAATAGCTTTTTGGAATTATCCTAGGAGGACTGCAAATAGGAAACACTTTAGGGGGGCATGGTATAAATAAAGGTAGATTGGTACGTATGTATGCAAGCTTTCAAATGTTACAGAGGCATAATTGGGAAGAATAAAAGTTCCAGAAGATTCATATATACTCTTACAGTAAGCTAGGTTAGCTGACTAAACAAACTAAATGTACATGTTTGTTGTGGTCTTCCACAGGAGTTCTGCTGAAGCCTTCCTCTATAAAATATAAAAAATGAGGTGCAACAGTTTTAGGCCCAAGCATCCTGCCAGTTAAGATCTATAAATTATCCATGATTTGTATGTTGTCTTTTTCAGAGTATCACTGCCATTTTTTACATTAACATGGATGTAATTATGATATCCCAGTTTGTCTACTATAAACTAAAGAATCAGAAGGTGGCAAAATGTGAGTCTTTTTTGAAAGGACACTTTTGCAACAGTATGGTGTTTTCTCTCATTTGTTTCCATATTAATTTAAAGATGTGATCCTTTGCATGTTTAGACAGAAAAACTTCTGAGTAGGCAAGTATAGGATTGTACTACTAGCTGCATACCTAAGTTCACATAAGTTATTAATATTACTATATTGTGAAGTTATCATTAGAAGCTTTCAGTAGCAAAACCAGAACACGTTACTTGTATGATGTGTAAGCTAAGGTATTATAGAGATTGCTTGGTTTGCATGATCTTAAGATGGTTAACCAACCACTTGGGCATGCCAGCTAATTTATATCATTACCCTCACCTAGCATGGCTTTTTATGTTTTCTGAGTTTGAAAAAGCCTGAAATCACCCCAAAATTGTGGCCATAGTAGGTTTGTTTGGTGGTTTGGTGAACACAAGCAGTTGCAGTGTTGCTTCTATGGCCACTGTAACCCATTATGGCTTACTAATCATACAAAGCAGGTTTCAGAGTAGAGAGCCCAAGATTAAAAGTCCTTTGAATAGCAGCACCTTGTACTACTCCAGGGTCTACTCCAGAGGGAAGGCAACCTTGGGAAGGAGCTTTGAGAGGAGATTGGCATTGAAAGCTTAAACTTTTTGCATGGGCAGGGCAGCTGTTTGCACAAAATGTATCCTGGCTTAAATAGATGATAGCATAAAGTGTGCATATTTTATGTTTCCATTTCCATTGCAAACAAATGTTAGATTTCTTTAAAAGAATAATTAGTTGGCCCTAATTTTCATTTGTCTTTCAAGGTGGTATAAACTTGAAGAATTGCTGTATAGCCTGGGTCTTGATGTGCATAATACTGTGTCTGTTTTTACCCAGTCAGCTACTGCTAGGAAAGCAAGCCCAGGCTACACTTCTAGGAACAAGTGAGGTATTGCCCGGTTTTATATTCTTAAGGGACCCTTATTTTCTGTAGTTTCTGTTAACTCAATGCTTGGTGGATTTTTTTTTAAATGAGCCTAATTCAGGAGGGAGTATGACTCAGAAATACTCAATAATTGATATCCTAGTACTGAATAGCATCCTCCATTTTCAGTTTTAACTTATTCAGTTTTTAAAAAATAGATTTCCTAATTAATTCTTTTCATTCATAATAATGAGTATAGAAGGGAAAGGGGCATTCTGTGTTGTAAACTTCTGCAAATATTGAAGTTATTTTGTTTCTCTTTAATCTTCAGAAGTCTCATGGCATGATGGAGATGTCAGGCTTTATTTGTGGATATATCTCATGTGCTTTTTACTTGGGTTCTAGAATTCCTCAGCTATATAAAAATGTAAGTTGTTATTTATTCTTGACAACAGTTATATTCAGTATTCCTTACACAGTTCAGTCCTGACTAATCAGGTCCCAGTGTGTTAGTGACTAATTTTCATTTAAACTGATTTGGGCTGAATCATCGAGAGTTTAGTTGGAATGGAGATACATTTGAGACTAATCTTGAATAAGTTCCCATAAATAGCATCTGCAACAAAATGTTGAAATGTACAGTGTATGTATTCAGGGTTTAAGCAATTTCATAATATTCCCTTTCAACAAACTCCCCCTTTCCTTTTATTCCCACCCCTGGTTTTTATTTCTTACCCCTAGTTAGTCAATATACTGTGTCTGACACAGGGAAAGAAAATTTCCCTTTTCCTTTTGGTGGAGGGACACTATGAGTAGTGAATAAGCTGCCCGTGGCTTCTTGTTGTGTTGTTCATACACATGCTAGTTGTCATATCATTTGAACCTTGGGAAGCAGTTGTATCATGCATTGCTGCAATCTGCTGCAGAGCTGCTTGGCAAGAAAGGTTAAAACCACCCCCATTCCCATCCCATGGCATTCTTGTGATCTTGCCAGTGTTTTAATCTCTTCCTGGTGATATACCCTCCACCAGTGTCAAAATAGTGGTTTGAAAGAATTGTCATTTGTTTGCCACCTTTTATTCTCAGTACTTCAGAAGCAAGCAAATGTGTTTGGAGCAGATTTGGATGCATGATATGCGTTGCCTTGCCTGATCAATTTCTTTGTATGCTGCAGCTGCAATAGGACTACAAAATCCAAGGGGTAACATACAAAGAAATTGAAATGACTGTGTAATGTGTAGCCTTCCCCAAGTCTCCAGCTTGTCCAGAAATTGGAATTAACAACACCTTCAGAGGTTTGGTTTGGAGCACTTGCAGAAGAATGGTGTGGAGAAATTTTTCTAAAAGAAACATTGTGACTACATTTGCATGCTCATGAAGCATTGAGGTTAGCCATTGGAGTGGGAGTGGACTGGAATGTAGAGACATGGAGGCTTTACTGCAAAGGCATACATTCTGGACCCAGCTGGACAACTGAGGGGGAAGGAGGGGGGAACCGGTAAGAAAAGCCCAGTCATCTGTCTGCTGGGATTTTTATACATTGTTCAGTGGAAAATCAGTCCACTGAGGCTTATTTACAGGATTATTTAGCATGATATGTGAACCCACATTGGTTATCTTCTCTATTTTGAAGAGGCTTATGACTCAGTAGCGGAGTGCATGCTTTGCAAGCCAAGGTTCCATGTTCATTTCCTGATACTATCAGCTAGGGCAGGGAAAGACTGAAACCATAGAAAGCCATTGCTAGCCAGGATAGACTGTCCTGAGTGGACCAATGGTATGACTCAATGGAGTTCCTTTCTTTCTGTTAAAAACTGAAAAAAGGCTTGTGGTGGCCACAATGCCCATCACGTTTCCAATTTCATGATGCATTTCTAGTCATATGTGTAAAAAGGTATGTTTTGTTTGCTTTAACTCAGCCTTTATATGTTACCTTTCAGTTCCAAAGAAGATCCACAGAGGGCACATCTTATCTGTTGTTTGCTTTAGCCATGATGGGGAATTGTACCTATGGTCTAAGCATTGTTTTAAAGATGCCTTCAACACAGTATCTCATGGGTCTTTACTTCTGGCACCATCTCCCTTGGCTCATTGGGAGCTTTGGAGTTTTATTTCTAGACATTCTTGTATCCTTTTTCTAATGAGAATTTGTAATTTTACAGAACTCTTTTGATGGTAGGATTTTATAGACAGTTATTCATCACTGGACTGATAGTATGGCATGGCTTTGCCCAATTTTAGTTGCTACATCATGGAACAAAAAGAGTATGCAGGCACTTACTTGTTAAGCTGAGAACATGAATTTCTGTGAATTTGTCAATATACAAGATTCTAAAGGGTATCTTTCATCATTATGCTTGAGGCAATTTTGAAAATTCATGTCAGGGGGAAGGCTGTAATTCTGTGCTTGCATTTTCTTGGGAGGGAAGCCCCTCTCAACATAGTAAAACTTACTTCTGAGTAAATACATAGAAGCTCAAACTGTATAATTGTTCTGTTCCCTCTGATTGAAGTTAATGGGTCCTATTTCTGGGTAAACATATGATTGGAGTGCAAAATACATAAATATATCAAGCGGCACTCTATCATAAAGTTCTGTTTCAAAGTAATTATCCAAGACTTAATATGGACATTCTTACAATCATTATTACAACCTTAAATCAAGAATGATTTACATCAGGAACAATAATTAAATAGTTCACCATATTGGTTCTATCTGCCCTGTTCTTCCTGATTTTGGTTTAGCCTCCATTTTCTGATTGCTGTAACAGGGCAACAAAAGTCCTCTTTCCCATGCTCTTATTCAATGATAATATTGCACTGCCAGTCCATATAGTCATATGTAAAATGACACTATACAAAGGGGAAAAAAACACTTATCTAGGTGAGGGCAAAAGCACAGCTCTTACTACATTACAAGAATTGAGTGATTTCCTAGTCCTTGTACATGAATTATATTTTGCCATTTCTCAATAATTTAGAAAGGAATTGTTTAGACATGTTGGCATGTGCCATCAAGCCATCTTCAACTTAGGGCGACCCCATGAATAAAGGCCCTCCAATATGCCCTGTCCACAACAGCCCTACTCTGCTCAGTTTTTCAGATAACCCTCTCTTTTCCTCACAGAAGCAGATTTTAATTATAACTAATTTTCTGTATTGGGTATTTTTCAGTTTATTGCAATCTAATATTTTCTAGATTGGACTGTAATGCTTGCCCCTGCTATGAAATGTAGCATCAATTGTAAGGAAGTAAAACAAGGGATTCTGTGAACTCAGATAAAAGACCAACTTTGAATATTAGCTCTTTATTCAATTCCTATGGTTTTATTATACATATCTAACAGTCCAGTCCACAACTCAGCAACATTATTATATTTCAGAAGGTTGCATGTTTAAGCTATCAAATGTATCTTAACTGAGTGCTATCTTTAAGCTTTACAGGTTTTATTGCAATCTCTTACCTAATTAACAAAACATAGTTTGCAGTCTGGCTGTTAATTTTTTGGCATAATTAATATTGACTTGGCACAGGGCTGTGGCAGAACAGTCAATATTAGATTCCATTTGTTCATTTATGTTCTGGTCCAGACCATGATAAAATGGCACAGGGTGTGGAAGAACCATTGCTTATCCCACATTCATTTGTGGCGTGTTTGGCACATTGTTCATGAATGCACATAGTAAATCCTTGGTGGAACCAAAGCAAGCCAGGACAGTGGCTGGGTTCATACACTATGAGACTCCACAGTGATTTCTTATCCTTATTGCTCTCTTATGTCATCCAGACTGAGTTTAGGGGGTACTCAAAACCTCAGTAGACCAATCAGGAGAAAGCTACTGAGGTCCATAGGGAACAATCAAGGAAGGAGAATGGGAACTGGGAACTGTCAAAATGCACAATGAGAGCAGGGGGAGAGAACAAAGACACAAGGAACCATGTGATTGTCTAACCAATAAGTTTGGGCAAAACTCTACACTGCAGAAACAGCACAGGATTGTTTGCCATGACGTGTGAACCCAGCCACTATGAAAAAACTGTGACTATGTGAATCTACTCTTTTTTATCTTATCTGAATATAAATGAATTATACTTACTGGATCAGTATATCCATAACTGAATATAATTCCTCACAAGTACAATAACTGTTTTCTGCTACTGTGGTGATCTGTCATTTTGCCTGTTGGCAAGCTTTTGGAATTCATGGCTTCTAGCCATAGGCTGAACAAAAAGGATTTTATTTCCACAAGGGCCTGTTTAGCTTTAACTGGAAACATTAACACTGAGAGGATTTTCTTTCAAAAATCTCTGTTTGACCCCAGTGGCCTTGAGCTGGAGATCTCTGCCCAGAAATGGCTCAGTCTATATGAGCAAATGTCATGCCTATTTCTGTTGTATGACCAGCTCAGAATCTGAATTGAATCTTAATACTGTGTCCCAGTTTGATTTCTATTGAAAGCAAATGCTTGCAAACTATTTGGATCTTACTTTTAATGAATCTTCAGATCAGGTTCCTTACTGTATCAAACTTACTAATGTAGTACCCATTGATCTGATAAGCAAAATAAGAGGCTGAACCTTCAGCTCATGATTGTAAGTGAAATGTTTAAAATCTAATTTGCTTAACATTTTAATTAGTTTCCCTTCCCCTCTTTTCCAGGATCTTAAACTATTAATCTTTGTACTGTCCCTTTTAATATTTTCTATCGTTGATGCTGCCTTAATCATCAATTGATGCATTTCCTCTAGTCCACATTGTATCAGATGCATCCCAAGTCCATTTCTAAATTTTGTGGTAGCCTTCATTGTTGCTTGCAGTTGCAGTATTCTGTCTCTCAGCAAAGCAAACAGCGTGTACCACAGTCCTGTTTCTTAGATTATTTGAAGCAGCACATTCCTTAGCAAAAAAAAGTTTATTGAAATGCTGTCCCTTCCCTCAAACTAGACTAATGTTAATATATTCAGAGGACAGGTGATTATGTCTGTGGGCTGGAAATATCAAAAGGACAAGAAGCTAATATTTCCCAGTGGTATCATTTCGGAATAGAAATGAAACAAATGTGTATAATACTTACTGGGGAAAAGTTTTGATATTCAAAATTGGCACTATTGACTTGTTGACAATGAATTAGATAAAAAAAGGGTCTGCTCTACTTTGATAAGGTTAAATTGATAACCATTTACTAAGGAAGTTGTTGAGTTTGGTTATGTGAGAGAGATGATCAAAAGTTTGGAGGTAATATTCTACATGGTATGGTGGTTGAGATCACCAACACATGAAACACGTCCTTCGAACCCACAGTTTTCAGCACCAGTAGGAACACAAGTTAATGTTTCTATAAATATACAAAGTGGGGAAAGGGCACCTGATTGGGTATCAAGAAAGGCATCCAAGGTCATATTGATTCCCAGAGGTGCCCTGTGGCCTACGCCTACTCTAGTTCTCTACTGTGTAATTACTGGGAACATTATATGTGTGTGTATATAAATAGAAACCTTTCCAAAAATGTCTAAAGGCAGATTTACACAGAACAATTTTACATATATGCATAGAGAGAATCTGTGTGTTCGTATACCATTTTCTTTTTAAATTATCAAGTGCACATTCATATGTGAAATATTATTAGGATGAAACTTGCTTTTCAACATTTTGGAATAAGCAGTGTCAAAAGAGAGGTGAGGGACTAATCTGAGCATTCGCTTTTGTTGTTCACAACTTGAAAATGAACAGTGCATAAGCTGTCTTTCTATCTTAACATATGACTATGCCCCTTAGCTTAACATTCAGATAACTGCACAATTTATTAAGTATTATAAGTGGAACAAGAGAAGACCCAGCTTGGTGGCCCTGGAAGTGGAACCCTTGCTCATAAATGAAGATTCCTGACATCTATATTTTGTCAGTGCTACATTCCAATTTATTAGATTGGATTCAGAGTAGAACCATTGGTTTTTTGATTGATCTACTCTACATATGATTAAGCCTACATTCAACCTAGTGTTTTGATTCTGAAGTCTTGAAGAATTTTCAGATGCGAAGGGTGATACCCATTAGTGATTCAACCTATTTCCCAGTTCCTTGTACTTGGACAGATGGTATTACAAAAGAAAAAAGAGCTAAAAACTGTAGCAGCATCTTCAATGTCTGAGTTGGATGTACCCAGTGTGAGAAAATATATGTCAATTATTGCAAAATCGGTTACAAGGTTACACATCCTGTTTTATTTACCTTTTAAACTACATATTCCTTATAACAGTTTGAGGATAAATTATTTATATGCCAGTGATTTCATAGGTTTAGTCAACACTGTGCTTATTTCAGTGTGTTCCCTGTTGTTTGGTTTGCTCCTGCTTGAACCAGAAAGGAAGAGAAAGTATCATGACATCACTACATTTCACATCATCAATGGAATTTTAAATGTTTGGAATCTTACTACTCTTGTCCAGTTTTTACATCAATCATACAGAATGATTTTTAAATGCATATCTGCAGTTCACAGTGATAATGTACTAGCAGTCTGGTCAGAATCTGAAATATGAATAAAGCAGTGGTGAGAATTTTTGTTCTGAGGGCCACATTTGTTCAGGATGGGAAATGGGGAAGGACAGAGGTTGTTGGGATAAAGCCAGAGGTGGGCAAAGCAATCTGTTCCACCCATTCACTCTCTTTTTGTGTTAAGATAATCACGCACTTGTACTCATTCTCTCTCTCATTCTCATCTCCTTGTATCTCTGCTTTTCATGCCATTTTCTTTTTCTACCCCTCTTTTTTCCAATCCCCTCAATTCTATTCCTTTCAGCACCAGGCAAAGTCTTGTCTTTTTAAAAGGTGTTTTAATACATGATTCCTCCCATAGATGCCACTATGGCCTGCTGGGTTTATTAATGCATTGGAATTTTATACTTGTATTAGATTAATTAATATTTATTGTTTAAAATTTTATTGTTGAGCATTAACAATGTGTTTTTAGAATGTGTTGTTTTAGCAGTGTGCGCTGCCTAGAAATGCCATGGGTGGAGTAGGCAGCATATAAATATTTTGCATAAATAAACTCAGCTCCACTCATCTCCATATAGCAATTAGGGTGCTTAAAAGAAGCTCCTGTTAGTGCCAGTGGAAGTTTTTTCAAAGGCCACATTGCTGCACAGGTAATTATTACCAGGATGACAGTACACGAAGGTTTACCCTTCTTTCCCCAGCTGCTATTCTGCAAAAAATACTTTCCCCTCCCACAGAAGGCCTAAAAGGAGAAGCCAACAGCTCTCACTTCAAAACATCAGTGAATGGATGAGTTGGATGTGAACGAACACATGTTTTTCCATACATCCCCACTTCATTCCACTCATGCTCGGACATGGTGCCACATGCAGTCAGTTTAGCTTCTACAGCCCAGGAAAAGAAAAATAGCTTCCAGGGGTCGGTTAACTTCAAGCCGCTTCTGGCAATTACTGCTGGAATGTGGGGCATGCCACATTAGGTGCTGAAAATGAGTTTGATGGGTAGTGTGGGAGATGGGTTGAAATGTGCTATGATTTTCTTCCTAAAGGTCCAAGAAGGGACCTTATTCCCTCCTCATAGTAGGACTATATTCCAGTGTACACACAGAGCAGAATAAGGTGGTAGAATGAGTTGGACCACTTCAGCTTGCAGGTGGACATCCATATTTTTAAAATGTCTTAAATAGGGAGTAAGCCAGGCTTGATATGCTAGATTTCACTTGCAGGAAATCTAGCATATCACTTTCATCCCCCACACACACCCAGTTGCCCAGTGCATCCGGGATGGCCCAAAATTAGCATTCTTCACCTGCAACAGAGTTCACTGTAGCATCTCATTTTGCTGTGCATTTGTGAGTGTGGGTGTAGGTGTGTAGAGCAGGGCTCAGCGCTTTATAGGCTGTTTGTGGAGAGTAGACTGGGATTCTGGTAGATCCTCCATGTGTTCTTTATCTGTGGTGGAGGTGAGACTTGGTCAAATGCTTACTTTGCACATATTCTAGTATAATCAGTGCTGTGTTTCACTTCAGTGTGAATTTCTGGCCAGATTTGTTAAAACTGTTTTGGTTTTTAAAGCGTACATAAGCTTTATATATGTCTTTGAATAGACAAAGGTTTAGTCCAGTCTTCAACTTAGAGACAGATAAGATTTTGGTTTAACTGGGCTGCCCAATCAAAGTTAAACCTTCTAGGTTAATTCTTGTTTACAGAATTATATGGGCAGTAATAGGAGCATTTTTTTTCTTGGGCAGAACAGCTAAGTACCATCTCTTGTGCTCAACCTCTCGAAACCCTCTTTATAGATCTAGGGTATATTGTCATAGTAACTTCCTGCAGTGCTAATTCAGTACTTTGTACTGTAGGTTGTCCAGATTTATAATGCTGTGCACAATTTGACTGCATTGACAGCACAAAAAAGCAAAAGTGCTAAAGGAAATAAAACTGCAAATGGCTTGTGCTTGAAAAAACACTGTTGGATAATTTATTTATCTGCTGGAGAAATTAGGTGGAATTTTCTGCCCACAGATAAGATGGAGAATGTTGGGCAATCATTTTTGTATTTTTGCCTCTTCAAACCTCTTTACAAAGCTTATCTTCCAACACTGGGTTGGGCAGAGGGATATGTGTTGGCAGCCCAGGTTGGCTTGTCCCTTACTCTGAGCAGATGTTTCCCTGCTTGGCAGCTTTCTGTGGCTTGTTTCTCCCAGTCCTTCTGGATGCTGCTACCACATCTCCTTCTGTCTTGGTGGCAGAAACCTTACTTTCCTCATTCCCCATGTCAGCACCTTTTCTGCATTTGGTCCACTTGGGTTTGCCAGCTACTGAGGGAGAATTCCTCGAGCCCTTCCACATCAGTTCACCAAAGGGTTTAATTTCTAAGCTATTATAAATGTGGGAAGTCATACACAGTTTTTCAGGGTCTTACATAAGTGGGCAGGACTGCAAGAACACTTTCCTGCTATTGAGTTCAGAATAGCCATTTCTCCCTCTTGTCAATGTCTTTCTCAGTTGTATTTTGCATTTCAGCACTTCCTAAGTGAAGCTCCTTTCCTACTTGCTCCTTGTAAGCATGGAAACATGATCACAGTGTTTAGTGTGAAGGAGTGTCCTTGTACAAGCACATGAGTCAAGCATACTTTTGATATGTTCTCTTGATATGTACATGCTATACACTTCTTGGTGTGCAAAACATTAATGAGGTAGGACAGAACTCCCAGGATTACGTACTTTTGTGTCTTCCCTCTCTACCAAATCTCAGCTTGCAACCCATTTCAGTCCTTGCAAATTGAACTGAACCCTATCAACACAGGTCCACCCCTAAATATGCATAGGCACTTGCTGTTTAGTTTCTTGGTAACCCTAAAGCATGACAAAGGCAGATCCCTGTAATGCAGGATTTTCACTGCAGTCTGTGACAGATCCTTAGTAATATCTCTGCCAACCAGGGATTCTGTGATAATTGGTAACTATTACATCTGATGTCCCATAATGATCTGGCATATCACATTGTAGGTCTTGTGCTAATTTTCCTGGTCCACCAAATGTTGACAAACGTCAAAGTAAACTTGCATTCCCTGTGGATTTCATTTTTCTTTTGTAGATTTCTACAAGCATAATAACTGTCACAAAATCTTCAGCTGAGCACTGGGATATTTTTAAGTCTCTGGTTTCAGGCAAAATTCGTTCAACGGATCAGATTCCATTATCTGAAACTGACTCTAAAGCAAGAGACCTCATTACTGCAAAAATGACTGTTGTGCATTGCCTCTGAATTCTGGTTCATGAGTATTTCCCACCAATTCTTTTGACATTTAATATATTAATAGGCCTCTGTATAACTAGAAAAGGTAACAAGAGCTATCTGTGTTGAGCATTAGAACTAATGTGAATTGTTTATGAATAATAATTTTGAGTACAGATTTCTCTTAAGATAACTTCGTTCATGGTTCCAGCAATTTAAGAGCCATATATTATATTCCAACAGTACATAGGGATCATATTTTTACATTTTATACTGCTTTTAGTATATATGGTTACCAAATGTTTGAGCAGGGAAGCGTGTGCCCAAGGAATTTGCTCCCTTCAACTAACACAACTGAGTTTCACATGTCATCTATCAAAACATTACATGTTATTAACCCCAGACCTTTCAAGAAGCAAACTATTCTAGCTGGGCTATGTAAAGTCCTGAATCAGAACCACAGCAGGTGCTGTGGGGAAAATAGCTGCTCATGCAAGTGTATCTCTCTATCAGATTTATCCCCTACCTTTCTGAACTAGGTCCCCAAAGCAGGTAACAATAATAAAGCAATCAGTTCTTTATAAAAGCAAATAAAAGTACAATTAAAAGAGCAAATAGTACCAAGCACAGATGAAAACAGCAGGGGAAGTTAAAAGCGGTCAGCAAAGAATACAGCAGCACACAGTCAAAATACCTCTGAAGGGCAAAGGTTTGTTTAAAGAAGAAAGCCTTCACCTGGTGACCGAACATCGCAGGGGAGGGAGGCAAGCAGGCTTGGAAGGGAGCTTCGAAGCCTAGAAGCAGCCATAGAGGGGACTTTTTCTCATATTCCCCCTAGAGGAGTCTCAGCCCTCTTCAGCTGTTCTACTTTGTTGTACAATGAACTTGCAAAGGACACTGGGGGAGACTGAGAAGAGCACACCAGCTGCATCCTCCTTTGCAATCATTGTTGCCAACATCCCCAGTGAGGACCCTTCTATGTCCATTTAGGCTTCCTGTGCAGTTTCAAACGCCTGAATAGGGCTAGCCGACACGGCTTTTCCTGCAGAGCTTAAAACCTGGTCAGGAGAGGAGTAAGGATGTGGTTTGCAAGCCACATGCGCCTCCACAAGCTCTGGGACTGCCCCTGCTGCTGGAACCCCACAATTTGCTGTGCAGTGGCAAATTTTAAATATATGTAAGGTGTTAAATCAGTCCTTTAGAGGTTCCACTAGTTTCAAGGTGAATCGTTTGTTTGTTTGCCACTGTGGCTGCGTTTTGGCAGTGTGAGAGCAGCAGTGCCACTCATGGGGGTCTTGGGGTGTGTGTAAAAGTAGCCCCAAGACACCCTGAAGGTACCCATTAGTACAGGAAAAAGCAGCCCTTAAGAACGTTTGGTCCCAAGCAGTGCAAGGCTGCAATCCTACTCATGCTTTCCTGAGGGTAAACCTCACTGTACGCAGTGGGCCTTACTCCAGAGTCATTGTATAGAATTGCACTGTAAAGGGCATAACCAGCATTTGGATTTTTACCACCTTGTATGGCATTCTCAGACTGGGGAGGCTGAAGTTCAAATCCTCATCCAGCCATGAAGATCACAATACCGTTCAGCCTAAGCTACCCCACGAAGCTGTTGGAAGGATGCAATGAAGCAGGAAGATACCATGTACTCTGCCTTAAGCTCTTTCGAAGAAAGGCAGAATAGAAATGCAGTAAATGAAATAAATATTGGGAGAGGAACTCATGGAAAGCTCCAGTCTCTACTTCTGATTAGTAAAGCTTGGGAGAAAAAACCCTCCAGATTATGAACAAGGCAGGCCAAGAGGAACGCATGATTACC